AGGAGAGGGGGGAAAGAAAAAAGAAAATAAGGAGAAAAGAGAGAGAGAGAGAGAGAGAGAGAGAGAGAGAGAGAGAGAGAGAGAATGAGATAGAAAAAGTATACAACCGTTCCGTGCGTCTCCACAACAATCACAATGTTTAAGACATCAGCAATTATGTTCACGTGATGTTTTTCACGTGGAATTAGAATATGCTGTTAGTCAGTAATTCAAAGCATGTGATGCCGGAAGGGGAAGGTGCGCATTTGATATTAGAATAATAATTATAGGCAGATAATGGAAGCACTAAATATTTTCAATAAAAGATATAGAAACCTCTTAAAAATGGAGAGACTATATGTGGAGCCTTCAAGTTTGGATAAATCTTAGATATTCTCGAGAACCATCTTCTTGTGAACTTCGGTGTGTTCCACTACCTAAACATGGCAATGTTTTTTTAATTGTACGACTATGAAATAGAAGAACACATAAGGCTTTAAAAGAAAAGCTAGCAGAAGGAAGCCATGCTCAACATGCTAGAAGACATGCATGTAATACTAGACTGAAAGAAAACACACAAACACATACACACAAGTAGTTAATATCGTAAAGATTAGAAACAAAAATGGATACTTCAATAGATTTCTTAATGTCTGACTTATTCCATTGAATTTCATGAGGAAGCTTTAGAGCTAATAATATAAAATCCTCAAATAAAATGGAGTCTAAGAATTCTATGAGCACTTTTGAATAGGAAAGGAAGAGCAGAAAAAAAAGCTGAAAAAGAAACAAAAGACTTACATCACAGAACTCTTGAAAAGAAATCTTGCCATCTCCATCTTTGTCATGGAACAAGATTGTCTTATCGACGATTTGTTGGAGTTGAGAATCCTTCAAATTGTTACCGACCATCATTTTGAGAACCTTAACGAAAACGTAAAACCGAGCTAGTGAACGATGAAAATACTTGGAAGAGTTCTCCATTTGATATGTAGCCATCTCTATCCATATCATAAATGCGAAAAGCGACTGAAAAGCATGAAATTGATAGAAAATAACGTCCGGAAGCTTCACATACACTTCAGCTTAATAGTTTTATCTCCTTTGACGCTAAACTGGGAAATTCCTTGAATGAACTCTGAATGGGATTATTGAGTACATGAGGAGGGATGTACCAATTACCTCTAAAATCTACTTCTCCGTTTCCATCTTCATCAAAGATATCGATTACCCTTTGAACAAGAGGATTTTGTTGCAATTCCGGCAAGGACATGAATTCCTGAAAGGAAGAATGGTCTTTTTAACTTTCAATTAGACGCTAACCTCGACAGAAAGAGAGCCGGAGCCATCAATATCGAGCTTCTTGAAACGCCTAGCGAGACGACGTAATTCATAAGCATCGACTAGAAAAAATGAGAATCAATAAATGTATAAAACCATATTAGAATCTAAACATGCAAAGAAAAGGAAAAACGGAGAACTCACAATTGCTGCACATTTCCATTGGGAGAGAGCTTTCGTTACCCTGAAACATCAACGTTCGAGCTTTGAGCAAAAATAGAAAAAAAATTCATTTACGGCAGTCGAAGAGGAAATTTAAAAAGAATCGCCGTGGCTTTACATCTCCCATTAACTGCGAAAATTAAATTGCTTACCATTATGCGAGAATATATGTAGTGTTATTGACGAAAAAAATATCTAAATGATGTGAAAGTTGAGCAGGAAAAGGTATTTCGTCACACCGGGATGGTCTTCTCTGAAATGGCCACAGTTACACATGTAATCGATTATAAATGAAATATTGAATATGAAAAACGTAATTAAATAATTATAATTGTGTAGTAAAGGATGAAAAGTGAAACATAAAGTAAGCTCCGAGAGGAAGCTTGCTCAGTTGATAGTGGTGGATGAGTGCCGGCTGCTGCGCCGTGCGATCGATACGCAGCCGCAACGCGCCGTCGATACATAAAAATACTTCTTTCACTTGTTGGAGAGTTGTAATATTAAAATAATAAATAAATAATCGACTTATGTGGAAGAAAAAATGTTAATTTAAAGCAGCAAGTAGGAGAGTAGTTGGATGTGTGTTGGTGAAGATGTGTGAGTTGATGAAGGAAGAAAGAAGAAAGGAAGAGGAAGGAGAAGAAAGAGTTAGATGAGTTGGTTGGTCTTAGAAACTAGAAAAGTCATGTGTTTGTGTGTGTGGATTTACATAGTAGTTGATTCCATGACAACCACTTGGGCTTAAACGGATAAGATTTGTTCCGATGACATATGCATTAACATGAGAGCAGTATTGAATAATCTGTTTCCTAACATGAGAACAAACAGATATCACAATGCAAATTGTATCTGCATTGATCTGGAACGAATCTTTCCAACGTGCATCTCATAAAAAGCTTATCACATTGATTGAAAATGACATCATTCAGTTAGAGCGAGGGGTAATGATATTCTTGAAATATCAGTGACTATAAGCATAAAATGAAAATCAATGAATTGCTTTACAACATATGTAATGCCAATGAAATCAGAAACATCTGCTGACTAGCCCTCAGGCTATTTGTTCTACATTACAAACATAGAAATGAAAAATTTAAAATAAAATATCTTAGATAGAGAAAGGAGAGATCAACATGAGATGTTAAATGATTGTAAGGCAGACACACACATACACAAACACACACTACCTCTGTACCCTGGTATATGCACGTGGTAACCTGAAATGCAGTGGGGAGCTTACCTGTCGACGAACACAACCGCTTTTGACACAACACACACCGTCAAAATAGAAACGATGAGATGCACTCAACTCGTGAACAACCGGTAACTACGAGTCAAACATTAAAAATGAAATAAGCGTGTATACAGTTGAAGGAATAATAGATGACGTCAACGTATATTTCAAATGAGAAGTTGAGCGTTTAATTTGAGTGGCTGGGACATAGTTGGAAATTCTAATTAATCGATTTAATATTAATGAAGTCTTTCGAGTTCATGAGAGCCATATGTTGTAAAAGGAACGAACCTGACTTTATTGTTTTACAAACGACTATTTCCTTCAGTTTTCTACTCAAATATCAAATTTTATTTTCTCTTACATTTCCTTCCTTTCTCACCCATATTTCTCATTTTTAAATGTCATTCGTCTGACGATATGAGATAGAGAGAGTGAGAGAGAGCAAGAGAGAGAGAGAGCAAGACAGAGAGAAAGAGTATTTTGTTGGAGTAAGAGAATGCTTGTTGTACGTACAAGTCTGTGAGTAAAAGAGCCAAGGAATTCTCAGAAGGCCAGCTGCTGTTTGTCGGATGACCGTATTGGCGCACCTAGAACCTCGAAGATTCGAACGATGATCCCTTCGTACATTTTTTTTCAGAGACTGAATAGAAAAATATATTTTCCTGGTACTCGGTAGTATGTAAAGTGCTAACACAGCCTTCTGCGTAAATGCGATTTTCTGCATTTACAGTACAATTCTCTCAGATAGCGCAAGGTCTAATTTGCTTGATGAAGGTAGGTTTTTTTTGGAATATCCGCATTTATTATTTATCAAAGAAATTGGAAAAGATTAAAAATTTGTAAGTGTGGGAGATGTGCTCGTGCACTCTCATGTCCATCTTGCCCAAATCTGTAGTTTGAGCGCGAAAGTGAAGATTTTCGAAAATGCCGAGTTTTGCACCATATTTTGCTTTGGAGCACGAGAATGTCTGAAAATCGCATTTGGGCAAACAGGGTGCGCCAGCGAAAGCACTTTGCATACTACTGTTCTCCATAGGTCACATTTATTGTCAAAAAATTAAATAAAATTCGCATCTCGCTCATACACACTGAACGTGGGCTTGATACGATAGATCCGATGCTAAACAGAAGTGATATGTATCGGATGAGTAGAAGTCTATGGGCAACATACTTGATACACTCACGTTTTTGATATCCTGTCGAATATACTGTAACGACAACCAAGTTCAGCACATACTAGCCTATGCGAGATTCGTTGATTGGGAAAGTATTTGGAGCAACAAAGGAGAGAGAAAAAAACGAAGAAAAATTAAGGATTCTCATCCAGAAAGCACACAAAACTCAACAAATTACAATTTTAGCCTTTGTTTTTCTATTCTTCTGACACCAGATGGCTGAGAGAACACAAAAGAGGTTGTTGAGAAAAGGAATGATCGTTTAACTGCCCTTATTTAGACGAAGCCACTGAAGATGACTGTCGAAGAGAGCAACAGAGAGAGAGAGAGGAAGAGAGAGAGAGAGAGTAAAGAGCTTTTCATTTCAGTTTTAGAAATGACGAGCCGTGTGTTAAAAATCATGACGATTTCTTACCAAAACAAGTCAGATCTCTCTCTACATCTCTTTCTCCTTCTCTTATCCCTCTGCAGATCCCTCTCTCTCTCTTCTGATTCTTCTGAATTCTTCTATCTTCCAAAGTAATTTGCATATTAGGTAATATAATAAGAAAATCGAAAAAACTATTCCTGATATGACAACCAAACGAACGTCACTATTGGGATGGGAAGCCTCATCTTCGCAACTCTCTTGTAACCCATTCCTACTCCGTCTCACTCCCCTCACACACACTCTCTCTTTCATTCTCAGTCATCTCTTTCTCTTTTCCCTTTTAGTTCGAAAAAAAAAACCTTTGAACCGTTTAGAAAAGTAAATTCTACTCGTTTTCATTATCTTGATAGCCAATTGAGGTGCCATTACTTGGCGTTCAAAGTCATTTTCAGCTTTAACTCGTTCCTCTCTCATCCTATATATTAACTAATATTCTGAATGTTTTTCTCATTCATACTCAAGCTTCTCCAGTTTCCAGCTTCATTTTTCAGTTATTACTGTAAAGATTCATTATTTATATTATTTTGTTACAAAATGAGATAGATAGATAGATGGATGAATGATGATCGTGTGCATACGATCCACAGATATGACAATCTATTGCATGATGAGTTTTAATCCTTACAAACTATGTTTATTCGATGTGTTAATGTTTGTTTTCTAAGATTCTTTGTCCTTCACGTTAAGCAGGCTAGTTTATACTTTGGGCTCTCGTTTTGAACATGTTTTTTACTAAAGAAAACTCTTTTCTCTTCCTCAAATATTGTTATTTAAAACATTCTATATAAGCCTAGAAATCATTGTGATCTTCATCAGACATCGAAAATTATATATTTCAATCCTTCCCCTCCTCTCTCTCCTTCCACCTCTCCCTTCCTTCTTCTTCTTCATTCCCTTCGCTTCTGCCTTCATCTCAACCCCCCCCCTCTCTCCTTTCTCTCATTTCTTCATCATTTGCTTGTTTAGTCAAAAAAAAATTATTTTTCTCGCTTTTGACTCTTCTGAAATTCAGAAAATATTCTTTGTACTTCTACAAAGCGTTCCTCATCTTCTTCTCCTTCTGCTCGTAACCTCACCTCTCATATTCTCATCAATCCACTTTGGGTGTAAGCTTCATGTTTGGACTTCACATTTTTCTCGATTTCAGTCTTTTTTCCTCAACCTCCAACTTCTCTCTTCAATGCTTATCAATCATGTTATGCTTCACAATAGACTCAACGATGACTAACATGAAATGAGTCGCAGCTTTTTCTGAAACAAATTACTGGAAAGAGACTTCTTCTATTGTTTCAAATCTATTTCCTCTTTCGAAGGAGGAGAAATCATATAAACCTTTATCCCATGATACCCAATGAATATTTCCTTAGTGCTCTATATTCCATATATGGATATACATATACATGTATATGTCTTTGATTCTTTGTCGCCTCCAGGCATGATCTCAAGAGTTACATAGCCAAGTTCTAATTAAAGGAAGCTAAAGATATGTTACTTTGAGTCTCATTCTCTCTATCTCTCTTAACCTTTATTTCTTTCAATCTACTTACTCTCCATCTCTCTCTCTCTCTCTCTTTCTCTCTTTATTTTGCTTTTCCTCTCAAAACCATCCTTCCCCTCTTACTTCATCCATTCGCCTGCTCGCGAGCAATGACTTCATTAATACAAAGTGAAAGAGAAGATTTATTTTATAATTCAATATTTATTGTTTTCTAATTTTTATAAATATAAAATTTATAAATGTTTGGTCGAAACGCATAAATTATCGGCTTTATACGAAAAGCTTACCGATCATGAAGAGTGTAGCTTACCCAGCTGAGCTGCTACTAGACAAGAGAGACAGGCAGAGATGAGGCCAACACCACAAGAGGGAAAGCTGATCTAACTGAGAAAAGAATCGTTATGAATAGACTGAGGTATAGAGAGTGTGCAAGAGATATAACTTGAAAAGAAATGAAAAGCTGACCCTCTCTGCAAGAGTAAGAAAGAAACGAGAACTTCTCCACCTTTTCGAAAAGACGTTATGATTCGGAAGCCGCGATAGATCGAGAGTGAGAGTCCGAAGAGCTCATGTTCCGAACTCAGAAACGAGTTCTCCCTTCATAGCTCTCGAACAAACGTAATGGTTTACAATAATTGTTTTTATTTTTCTCCTTTTCATTTGAATATGTTATTTTCCCTCCATCTACCCATATTCTATGCTCAGTTGCTTTTTACAGAGAGATAGAGAGAGATAGAGAGAGAGAATGACTGTGTGAGAATTTTGCTCTTCATGACTAACCTCATAATCTGTTTGATTTCTTCAAATGGAGAAGA